AGATTAAAGTCCATGAAAAATCGTGATTTAGCCGAAAATGACAAAAATTACGGTTTATAGTCCAAAAAAATGTGAATTGGTATGTTGGAAAATAAGAATATATTTGGCCAAAAACAATAAAAATTGTGGATTATAGTCCACGAGAAATAGTGATTTGGATGAAAACAACTAAAATTTTGGGTTAGTCAAAAAGACATCATGAATTTGAAGGCACACATAAATATTTCTATGCAAGAAAGCAAGATATAATTTGGCCAAAAATGACGTAAATAACGGATTTTAAATCCACAAGAAATCATGATTTGGCCTAAAACAACCAAAATTGTGGATAATAATCCATGAGAAATCATGAATTTAGGAGCTCTCATAAATATTTCTATGCGGAAAAACAAAATAAACTACTTTTGCCAAAAACAACCAAAATAGGAGGTCATAGCCCATGAACACTCGTGATTTGGTCAAAACGACCAAAATGGTGGGTTATATAGTCCATGAGAAATCACAGGAGCTCACATAAATATCTCCATGCAAAAAACAAGTGATTTGGCCAAAAACGACAAAAAGTGCAAGTAGACAAGGACAAAACGTGAATTTTGGAGCTCGCATAAATGTTTCTATGCCGGAGAGCATGAAGTTATCTAGCCAAAAAGACTAAAATTGTCCGTTAGGTCCACGAGAAATAATGAATTTGAGAGCCCACACAAATCTTTCTATGTAGGAAAGTAAAAAATATTATGGCTAACTACAAAAATTGTCGTTTAATGTCCATGAGAAATTGTGAGTCAGTCGAAAACGATAAAAAATATGGGTTATAGCCTATGAGAGATCGTGAAGCTCACATAAATATTTATGTGATAAAGTAAAGAATTGATTTGGCCTACAACGACGAAAATCGTGGGTTATAGTCAACAAAAAAGTACGATTTGGTTAAAAACAATAAAAATTGTGGGTTATAGTTGACAAGAAATCATGAAGTTTTGAGCGCACACAAATACTTATATGCAAGAAAGCAAAATTTGTGGGTTATAGTTTGAGCAAGAATGACAGAAATTATTGATTAAAGTCGACAAGAAATCATAATCTGGCCGAAAACGACTAAAATTGTAGTTTATAATCCACTAGAAATCATGAATTTAGGAGCTTGCATAGATATTTCTATACGGGAAAACAAGAAATTTTTTGCAAAATACAATGGAAATTGTGGGTATAGTCCACGATAAATTGTGATTTGGCCAAAAACGACTAATATTGTGGGTTAAGTCCACAAGAACTCATGAATTTGAGCATTTGCACAAATATTTCTACCATGGAAAGCAATAAATAATGACCAAAAACAACAAAAATTGTGGGTTATAATCCATGAAAAGTCATGAATTTGAGCGTTTGCACAAATATTTCTAGGCTAGAAAGCAAAAAATAGTATGGCCGGCAAAAATTGTGGGCTATAGTCCACGAGAAATCATAAGTTGACTGAAAGCAACGAAAATTATGGGTTACAATAAACGTGAAGTGAATATGGGAGCTCGCATAAGTATTCATATGTGAGAAAGTAAATTGATTTAGTATAAAACGACCAAAAGTGTAGAATATAGTCAACGTATAATCGTAAATTTGGGAGCTAGCATAAATATTTCAATGCAGAACACAAAAAGTGATTTCGCCTAAAACAACCAAAAGTGTGGGCAGTCCATGATAAGTTAATGTACTTAGGAGCTCCCATAAATATTTCTATGTAAGTGCACAAAGTGCTTTGGCTAAAAGACCAAAAGTGTCGGGTGTTATCCATGAGAAGTTGTGAATTTGAGAGCTCATACAATTATTTTTATGCAGGAAAGCAAGAAATAATATGGCTAAAAATTACCAAATTGTGGGTTAAAGTTCATGAGAAATTGTGATTTGGGTAAAAACGATCAAAATTGTGGACTAGTCCACAAGTACCGTGAATTTGGAAGTTCGAATAAATATTTATACATGGGAATGTAAAGAATTGATTTGGCCGATGACGATGAAAATTGTGGGTTATAGTACACGAAAAATCGTGATTTGGCTAAAAGCAACTAATATCGTGGGTTATTGTCCATGAGAAATCGGGAAGTCATGAGCACGCAAAAATATTTCTATGAAAGCAATATATAATTTGACCAAAACGACAGAAAATTATGGATTGAAGTCCATGAGAAATGTGATTTAGCCAAAAATGACAAAAATTATGGTTTATAGTCCACAAAAATCATGAACATGTATGTTGGAAAAGAAGAATATATGCGGCCAAAAATGACGAAAATTGCAAGTTAAAGTACACGAGAAATTGTGATTTGGAGAATCAAAATTTTGAGTTATAGTCCAAATGAAATTGTAATTTTAGAAGCACACATAAATGTTTTTGTGTGCTGGAAAGCAAGATATAATTTGGCTTAGAACGACAAAAATAATGGATGAAGTTCATAAGAAATCCTGATTTGGCTGAAAACGACCAAAATTGTGGGTTATCATCCAAGAGAAATGATGAATATAGGAGCCAGCAAAAATTTTTCTGTGTGGAAAACCAAAAAACATACTTCTACCAAAAAGACCAAAATTGGAGGTTATAGTCAACGAAAAATCGTGATTTGGTCAAAAAGCACAAAATTTGTGGGTATAGTACACGAAAAATCATGATATGGCCAAGACTTCGTGAAGTTTTGAGTGGGCATAAATATATGTGCGGGAAAGCAAGATATAATTTGAACAAAAATGACAAAAATTATGGATTAAAGTCCACAAGAAATCATGATTTGGTTGAAAACGACCAAAATTGTTTATAATCCACGAGAAATCGTAAATTTAGGAGCTTGCATAAATACTTCTACGTGGGAAAGTAAAAAATAATTTTGCAAAAACTGATAGCAATTGTGGGTGTAGTCCACGAGAAATTGTGGATTGGCCAAAAACGACTAAAATTGTGGGTTATAGTCCAACGAGTAATCATGAAGTTGAGCGCTTGCACAAATATTCTACGCTGGAAAGCAAAAACTAATATGGCCAAAAAGGCAAAAAAGTGGGCTTTAGCCCACGAGAAATCATGAATTTGAGTGCTTCCGCAAATATCTCTATGTTGAAAAGCAAAAAATAATATGGCCAAAAATGGCAAAAATTGTGGCCTAGCCCTTGAGAAATCATGAGTTGGCTGAAAACAAGGAAAATTATGTCAATGCAGAAAACAAAAAGTGATTTGCCGAAAACGACAAAAATTATGGGTTATAGTCTACAAGAAATCAGGAAATTGGGAGCTCGCATAAATAAATATTTCAATGCGGACGAGAACAATGTGCTTTGGCGAAAAAGACCAAAATTATCGGGTATTGCCTATGAGAAATTAGTAATTTGAGAGCTCGCACAAATATTTCTATGTCGGAAAGCCAGATAAATATTTGCCAAAAGGGCCAAAATTGGGGGTCATAGTCCATAGTCCTTGAGAAATCATGTTTCGGGAGAAGAAGAATAAAATTGTCGGTTATAATGCACGACAAATCATGAACTTGGGGGCTTACATAAATATTTATATGTCGAAGAAGAATATATTGTCCAAAAACGACGAGAATTGTGGGTTGTAGTCCATGAAACGTCGTGATTTTGATAAAAATAACTAAAATTTTGGGTTATAGTCCAACACAAATAGTGAATTTGGGAGCACGTATAAATACTTTTATGCGAGAAAGCAAGTTATAATTTGGACAAAAACAATGAAAATAATGGACTAGAATCCACAAGAAATCGTGAATTTAGGAGCTCGCATCAATATTTCTATATGAGGGCAAGAAATAAATTTGTCAAAAACGACCAATAGTGTCGGTTATACTCCACGAGAAATCACGAAAATAGAAGCTCGTATAAATATTTCTCTATGCGAAAAGGCAAGAAGTGATTTGGCCAAAAACGACAAAAACTGTAAGTAATAAGCAACGAAAAATCATGAATTTGGGAGCTCGCATAATTATTCCTATGCAGGAGAGCACAAAGTTATTTGGCCAAAAAGACTAAAATTATCGGTGAAGTCCACGAGAAACAATGAATTTGAGAGCTCAGACAAATATTTCTATGCGGGGAAGAAAGAACTTATATGTCCAAAAATTGCCAAATTGTGGGTCAAGGTCCATGAGAAATTATAATTTGGGAAAAATGATCAAAATTATGGGTCATAGACCACGAAGAATCGTGAATTTGGAAGCTCACTTAAAATTTTGTGGAAAAGTAAAGAATTGATTTAGCCAATAACGACGAAAAATGTGGGTAGTATCATTCACAAAAATAGTGATTTGGCTAAAAACTACAAAACTTGTGGGTTATAGTCCAAGAGGAATTTAGGAGCACGCATAAACATTTAATGCGGGAAAGCAAGATATAATTTAGCCAAAAACAACAAAAAATATGGATTAAAAATCCACGATGAATTGTGATTTGTTTTCAACTAAAATTGTGGGTTATAATCCACTAGAAATCATGAATTTAAAAGTAGGGCTGGCAATGGTACACAATTCCATTCCAACCAATTCATGTACCAACCGTACCAAATACGTTGGTATACCATCAAATCGGTATATGGTACATGGTACAGTATACCGTACCAGCTTTAAAATATGGTACGGTAGGTGGTACATATTTTCCTCTACCATGGTATACCGTACCTACCAACTTATATTATATTAAATTATTATATATAATATATATATATATATCCTTAAATCTCAACCATAGATTTAGGGAAGATAAATCAACAACCATCAATTTTTTACCCTAACCTAATCTCTCTCAGCCTCCCACTCTCAGTCTCAGTTCGCCTCCCCAAAACTTCCCCCAATTCTCTCCCCAAAAATCCTCTCCCCAAAACTTCCCAAATTCCTCAAATCCTCTCCCACCTTCCACGATTTCAGCCCATATCACCGCCCGACACCGACGTTCCGTACACCACCAAGCTCGCCCCTCGTCCGTCGGCCGAACGCGCCACGCCGCCACGACAACCGTCGAGCTCCTCCTCCACCGTCGAGCTCCTCCTCCTCCACCGGTATAGTTAAACTCAATTTTTGCTCCACTAAATTAGTTTAGGTGCATGGAATTGTTAAACATGTCCTTACTTCATTAAATAGGATTCATGAATGTTTATGGAGAGAACAAGGAGCACAGTCGCACTTGCACAGATACGAAGCTCGTTCACACACCTGCTCATGAAAAAAAAATATAAAGACCAACAAATTATAGAAATGTAAAACGCCATCAAACAACTGTATATGTATTTTATTCTTCTGCTGGTTTCCTTTAGTTTCCACAAGCAATTTTTTTGGGTGAAAGGACTAAATAAGTAAATATTGACTTGGGCTTGTAATTTTGGGTGAAACTGTGAGAGCACAAAAAGAAGAGATCTCGGTTTTCTTTAGAGATATTGGTTTTCTTTAGTTTCTTTCCACGGACCACGACATTGTCAATTTTATTCATCTGCTTGTAATTGGATTGACTTGGGCTTGTAATTGTAATTGTTGATTTTCTTTACGTTGTTTGGTTTATTTTTATTTTTATTTTTGAATTAACTGTGATATATGTAAATGAAAGAGGGTAGAGATAAAGAAGCAAATGAAATCTACTAAGGAAAAACTTTGATACTTTGTGAACTGGGTCATATATGTAGAGAAAAGAAGTCTAGCTATCTGATATAAAAAAAAATACATAAACAATATCATTCATAGCTAACAAACATGCGATAATATGGGAAAAGTACATTCTTAGCTATTAACAACCTTTGAAAATAAACAAAATACATGGAGCTGTCATCATTTGCATGTAGTGTTGCTGCTAATCTAAACATTATCTGAGAACACGTGTCTTTTCAAAGTTCATTAGGAACAATTGAGCTGTCATCTTTTGCATGTGCTCTTTGATATATGAAAATGGATTTTAGTGAAATGAATTGTTGACTCGTATCTGTTATTTACTTGATTGTATAAATGGTTGTATACATGATGGCTTTACTATTTTGCTTTCCCTTTCAGATAGGCGCAGGTGACATTCACCGGATGGCATTTACCATTGAACTTGCTATGGAATGATGTTTTAATTGTGACTTTGACACTATTTGCCTATATCGTTGATACAGATAGTTGATTGGCTAGAATTCCATTATAACATAAATCAAGATCTTGAACCATAACATTAGGGTCCTCACAATATGTAATTGTAATGCCATTAGCAGTAGGGATGATGACGATGCACTTCAGCTACAAAACTTGGTGTTTTAGTTTGCGCTATATTGTTTTTTGACTTGTTATTGGATTTAATTATGTATTTATGTTATTGTTGTAGAGAATGCTTTTACACAAAACTTGGAGGCAGTAAGGGGCGGCCCAAGTAGCAATAGCTCTGTTCAAACAACTGCTTAGGCATCAAGCGTTCGGGGTTTATGGCCTAGCACTATCACCGCCTACAACATGTCAACATGTCCCGCTTTTAGACCTATCATTTCTTTTTTTTCAATTGTTTTATGAATTTGTTAGTACTTTGGCAGTTTGACTATTTGGACTTTGGCATGTTCAATTTATGACTTCGTATTCGGTAATTTGGTTGAATTTGTATAACACTTTGGAGTTTGGATTTTTGTTGTTATTTGTTATTAGTTTCTTATTTATTTCGCAACAATGAATTACTGAATTAGACAATTAGTAAGACAGGTTTGGACTTTGGCAGCAGGAGAATTATGATCTTTTTAACTTTTTGTAATAGTGTTGTTGAGCTGGGCCTTTAAATTTTTGGGCCATATATATCTTGATAGAAGTCTATTACCAACCGTACCAACCGAGTACCAACCGTACCAAGTAGTTGGTATACCAACATTATTGGTTGGTAGAAATGGTGACTTTTTCCTACCAATTATATATTGGTTGGTACATGGTATTAGGAAAATATAATTGGTATACCTACCAATCCAGCCCTATTTAAAAGTTCGCATAAATATTTCTATGCGGGCAAGCAATCAGTTACAAAAGGCGCTAGGCGGACTAAGTGTTTGAGCCAGCGCCTACACGCCTAGGCGTTTGGCTATTTTTTAAATTATTTAATTATAATAATTGATAAAAATATGTATTAAATTCATATAAATTTGCCAAAAAAAGAAAAAAAATATAGCAATCGTAGATTCACAATAAACCATGCATATTTAAATACTAAATAGCCAAAATAATAATCGATAAGGCTATAGAAAGCGCAAGGGGGCCAAGGCGTTGAACTCGACGGTTAGAGCCTAGGAGGGTTTCTTTTTTATTTTTTAATTACAACAATTGATAGTAAATGTCAATGTTATAGATAGCTTAGAGGACTGGTGTCTCGGAGGATTTCTTTCTTCATTTCAGTGGTCGAGGAGGTTTTGCTGAAGGTTGGAGAAGGCAGTGGATGTGTTCATATTTGGAGGTTAAAGGAGTTTGGAGGAAGATGGAGGACGTGGAGGTTATTACACAAAAAATCACGATTAAGGCCTCAATGATGCAGTCCACGTAAGCCGACAATGCTCCCTAAACACTCCCAAAACCTAGGTGGGCAACCTAGGTACCGCCCAGGCGTTAAGCGCTAATTAGACGGCCTAGGTACCGCCTAGACCTAGGCGCATGCCTAGGCGGACTAGACGGAAGCTTTTTAAAATAATGCAAGCAAGAAATAATTTTGCCAAAAACGATCGAAAATTGTGGGTATAGTTCATGAGAAATTGTGATTTGGCCAAAACGACTAAAATTGTGGGTTATAGGTTATGAGAAATCATGATTTTGAGAGCTTGCATAAATATTTCTATGCGAAAAAGCAAAAAATAATATGGCCAAAAACAGAAGAAAAAAAATTTATGGTATGACAAATTGTGAGTTGGTCAAAATAAACAAAGTTGTGGTTGTCCAGACGTAAGTTTAGGAGTTAGCATAATTATTTATACGTGAGGAAGTAAGAATTGGTTTAGCAAAAAACGACCAAAATTGTGGGTTATAGTTAATGCGTAATCGTGATTTAGCTGAAAACAACCAAAATTGTAGGTTATAGTCCACATGAAATCGTGAATTTGAAAGCATGCATAATTATTTCTATGCGAGAAAGCAAGAAATAATTTGGCTAAAAACAATGAAAATTATGAGTTAAGTCTCCGGAAAACTGCTATTTGGCAGAGCACGACCAAAACTATGGTTATAATCCACAAGAAATCATGAATTTAGGAGTTTACATAAATATTTCTTTATTCGAAAAAGAGAAATATTTTTTGAATAAAATGACCAAAATTGTGGTTTACAGTTGTAGATGGTCAAAATAAACTAGCTCCCCTAGACCAATACTCAGTACAGATAATACAAATCTAATACTTGAGCCTAACATGAGCTCAAAAAGTAAACGTCCATCCGCTCAACATTTCAGATGGGCCCAAATAGGAGCCACGGCGAAGCTCGCCCAAGTCACAACGAAGCTTGCCCAAATCACCATGAAAACTCGCTCTGAAGACCAGGTCAAAGTGAAGCTTCAAGCAAAGTTCATCCAGAATGAGCTTTTGCCCAAATAGCCAGCATGGGCCATGTCACCCGCAATTCAGGCAAACTTCGCCAGGACAAGCTTCGCTCATGATCATTATCGGCGAACTTCGCCCAGAGCTATTCTAAGAGCTATTTTTTTGGAAACGGCTCACCGCATTATCTCCTAGTGGCCACTAATCCACATTTAATGACCACTCTCTCTCTCTCTTAGCCTATAAGAGGAGATGAGATTACTCATTTTCGCATCTTAAGCTTCATCATCTTCATCATCATAAGAGAGATAAATCAGAGATCAGACACTTAAAGCTTCGACATTCCTCTGAAATCAGCAAGAAGACTCGTTGTTTTGATTGGATCATCAGTGGAGCACAAAAACGACACTCCATCAACACAAAAAAGAACCCAAACCCTATAAAATTTTCTTGTTTCTTGCATTCTCTGAATTTGTAATTCCATTTTTGTTATAAATTCAAAGACCCGAAACAACAGTACATGAGAAATCATGATTTAGCCAAGAATGACAAAATTGCGGTTTAGTCCACGTGAAATCGCGAATTTGGCAACTAGCATAAATATTTCCATGTAGAAAAGCAAAAAAGATTTGGTAAAAACCGACAAAAATTAGGGTTTATAATCCACGAGAAATCATGAATTTAGGATTTCGCAAAAAGATTTTCTACGCAGGAGAGCACAAAGTGATTTGGCCAAAAAGACCGAAATTGTTGACTTTAGTTCACGAGAAACAATGAATTTAAGAACTCGCACAAATATTCTATACGGGAAAGCAAGAAATAATATAGATATAAACTGTAGACTATGGGTTATAGTCCATAAGAAATCGTGACTTGGCTGAATATGATTAAAATTGTGGATTAGTCCACGAGAAATAATGAATTTGGAAGCTGGCATAAATACTTATATATAGAAAAGTAAGAATTAATTTGGCCACAAACAATGAAAATTATGGGTAATAGTCCACGAGAAATAGTTATTCGGATGAAAACCAAATGTTTGGGTTAGTCCAAGATAAATCGAGAACTTAGGAACACACAAAAATCTTTCTATGTGGGAAAGCAAGATATAATTTGGCCAAAAACAACAAAAATTATAGGAGAAAATCCACAAGAAAGCGTGATGTGGCCAAAAATAACAAAAGTTGTGGGTTATATAGTCAATGAGAAATCATGAATTTAGGAGCTCAAATAAACACTTATATGTAAGGAAGCAAGAAATACTTTTGAAAATCGACCAAAGTTGTCTTACAGTTCACGAGAAATCGCAAATTTGAGAGCTAGCATAAATATTTCAATGCAAAAAAGCATGAAGTGATTCGGTCAAAAACAACCAAAATTGTGTGTTAAGAGTCCACGAGAAATCATAAATTTGGGAGCTCGCATAAATATTTGTATGCAGGAGAGCATGAAGCGACTTGGTCGAAAGACCAAAATTATTGGTTATAGTTCACGAGAAATAATAAATATGAGAGCTCGAACAAATATTTTAATGCGGGAAAGCAATGAATAATATTGCATACAAGGACAAAATCGCGGATTATAGTTCATGAGAAATAGTGATTTGGCCGAAAACAACCAAAATTGTGGGTTATAGTCTACATGACTTGGGAGCTCGCATAAATATTTGTGGAAAAGAATTGGATTGGCCAAAAACGAAGAAAATGGTAGGTTATGGTCCATGAGAAATCGTGATTTGGAAGAAAACAACCAAAATTTTATGTTATAGTCCATGAGAAATCGTGAACTGGGAGCACGCATAAATATTTTTGAGGAAAGCAAGATATAATTTGGCCAAAAACAATGAAAATTATGGATTAAAGTCCATGAGAAATTGTGATTTAGCCAAAATGATCAAAATTGTGAGTTATAATCCACGAGAAATAGTCAATTAGGGAGCTTGCATAAATATTTCTATGCGGGAAAATAAGGGAATAATTTTTGATAAAAAGACCAAAATTGGGGTTTATAATCCACAAGAAATCTTGATTTAGTCAAAAAAGACCAAATTTGGGGTTTATGGTCCACAAGAATTATGAACTTAGGAGCTCATATAAATATTTCCACACGTAAAACCAAGAAATGATTTGGCCAAAAACGAACAAACTTGCGGGTAATAATCAACAAAAAATCGTGCATTTGGGAGCTTGCATAATATTTCTATGGAAAAGAGCACGAAGTGATTTTGCCAAAAAGATTAAAATTAGCAGTTAAGTCCACGAGAAATAATGAATTTGAGAGCTCGCACAACTACCTCTACGTGAGAACCAAGAAATAATAGTAATAATATGTGGGTTAAAGTCCATGAGAAATCGTGATTTGGCAGAAAACGATCAAAATTGTAGGTTATAATCCACAAGAATTTGTGAATTTGGAAGCTTACATAAATATGTATGTGGGAAAATAGAGAATTGGTTTTGCAAAAAAAGACAAGTACAGGTTACAATTCACGAAAAACTATGATTTCACCAAAACCAAAATTATGGGTTATAGCCCGTGTGAAATCGTGACGCTATGAGCACGCATAATTATTTCTATTCAGGAAAACAAGACCCAATTTGACCAAAAACAACAAAAGTTATAGATTAAAGTCCACACAAAATCATGACTTGGCCTAAAACAACCAAATTTGTGGTTTACAACCCACGAGAAATCATGAACTTAGGATCTCGCATAAATATTGTAATGCGGGAAAGCAAAAAGTAATTTTGCCAAAAACGACGTAAATTGTGGGAATAGACCACAAGAAATTGTAATTTGGCCAAAAAAGACTAAATTTGTGGGTTATAGTTCAAGAGACATCATGAATTTGGAAGGTCGCATAAATATTTCCATGTAGAAAACCAAGTGATTAGGCCAAAAACGACCAAAATGGTGGGTAATAGTTCAAGAGAATCGTGAATTTGGGAGCTCGTATAAATATTTCTATGTAGGAGAGCACGAAGTGATTTGGCCAAAAGATCAAAAATTGTTGGTTAAGACCATGAGAAATCAGGAATTTGAGAGCTCGCACAAATATTTCTATGAGGAAAAGTACGAAATAATATGGCCAAATACAACCAAAACTGTAGTTTATAGTCCATGAGAAATTGCGATTTGACCGAAGTGACCAAAATTGTAGGTCATAATTCATGAGAAATAGTGAATCTGAGAGCTCACATAAATATTTACATATAAAAGGTAAGAATTGATTTGGCCAAAACGAGATTGCTAGTTTATAATCCACGAGAAATCGTAAAATTTAGGAGCACGCATAAATATTTTTATGGGGGAAAGCAAGTTATAATTAGGCCAAAATGACAAAATTTATGGGTTAAAGTCCATGAGGAATCATGATTTGGCCGAAAAGGACAAATTGTGGATTATGCTCTACGAGAAACCGTGAATTTAGGAGTCCACATAAACTTTTCCATGCATAATATTAAGAAATATTTTTGCCAAAAATGATCAAAATTGTGGGCTATAGTCAACGAGAAATCGCAAATTTGGAAGATAGCGTAAATATTTCAATGCGGAAAAGGAAGAAGTAATTTAGCCAAAAACAACCAAACATGTGGATCATAGTCCAGGAGAAATCATGAATTTGGTAGCTCGCATAAATATTTCCATGCGGGGAAAGCACGCAATGTTTTGGCTAAAAAGATCAAAGTTGCCAATTATTGTCCACGAGAATTGTAAATTTGAGAGATCGCACAAATATTGCTATGCAGGAAAGCAAGAAATAACATTGCTAAAAAGGGCCAAATTTGTAGATTATATAGTCCATGAGAAATGAGAAATTGTGATTTGGTCAAAAACGACCAAAATTGTGGGTTATTGTCCACAAGAAATCGTGACTTTGGAAGCTCGCATAAGTATTTCTATGTGGAAAAGAAAGAATTAATTTGGCCAAAAATGACCAAAATTGTGGGTAATAGTCCACCAAAATCATGAATTTAGAGGCTCGCATAAATACTTCTGTGTTGGGAAGCAAGAACTGATTTGGCCAAAAACTACCAAACTTGTGGATTATAGTTCACGAAAAATTATGAATTTAAGGGGATCACATAAATATATTATGCGGGAACACAGTAAGTGTTTGGCCATAAATGATCAGAAGTGTGCGTTATAGTCTATGAGAAATCATGAATTTGGAAGCTCATATAAAAAATTCTACGCGGGAAAGGAGTGATTTGAGCCATGTAGATAGAAGTCGTATAATATAAACATGTGTTCCAACTGCTACCTATTGCAACCAATCCAATAAACATTGAATCAAAACAACAGACCGACATGAAATCCTTGATAATTATTAGTAAAATCGGTTCTGGTTATACACCAAGGACATGTATAATTGCATTGATTGCGGAATCTCATAAACCCCCTCTATTTCTGTGGTTGTTTTACCTCTTTATCCATTATTTTTCTCGTCAATCTCTAATTTTATTCCACTGTTGTTGCTAGCAAAAGAAATTATAACTAATAATAAAATTTAAAAGTAGCATTTTCTAGTGGGAATTAACCTAAATTATTTTTGTCTCAAGATCTGTTTCATTCTACATCAAATTCCTTCTACATCCTCCAAATTCACACATTACTATACCTAAATCGAACTACTAAAACAATCAAAATCAAATCATTACCAGTGATGAGATTCATATCACAAGAAAAATGCACTCATCAAATCCAGTATCATCATCATCACCAGTCTCCGCCAGAATCCTCGTCCCATGGCCACTATAAATCGTAAATTTTGGAACTCACATAAATATTTCTATTTCTACGAGGGAAAACAAGTGGTTTGCCTAAAAAAGACCAAAATTGTGGATTTTAGTTCACGAGTAGCTGTCATGTGGCCGGAAACGACTAAAATTGGTGGTTAATAAGTCCACAAGAAATTGTAAATTTTGAAGCTTGGATAAATATTTTTATTCGGGAAAGCAAGAAGTTATTTGGCCAAAAATGACCAAAATTGTGGGTTATAGTCCACAAGAACCGTGAATTTGGCCAAAAACGACCAAAGATGAGGGTTATGTAGTCCAAAATTAATCGTGAATTTGGAAGCTGACATGAATTTCTATGCAGGGCAGTGAGAAGTTATCTGGCCAAGTCAAACTATTTATTGATTCGTCAATTGCATGTTTGTTGGTCTTTTTTTCGTTAGTAAGTTTTCTTTATTTCATGAGTTTTGTATATTTTAACATAGGATAAATAATACATATGTATTAAAAATTTCTAAAAATGCATAATTCTTTGTAATCCAATTAATCGGCGTGTAATCCGATTACTCATTAAGCACTCTCGGAAAGCACACATAATAAAACCTTGTTTCTGAACATTATGAACAATTACTATTACCATCTTTACTAAAGACCCAAAATTTCCAAAAGCAAAAGTTTGTTATCTACTAACTACAAACCCTACTCATGTTGTTTTGTGCTAGTTTATTAGATACATGGAAGACTATTGCAATGACATTGATTTGGAGGCAACATTACCAAGTTCTTGATTTCTAGAAGTCATTAAAACATTTTTTAACTGCAAGAAGAGACCAACTTAGACTTGATCTAATAATTGCCAAAGATAGCTCAAGGAGGAAAATTCCAATAGATATTTAAGAGTTAAAAGAATGACCTAGAGTTAACATGAATGAAGACAAGTAGAAAAAATTGAAAGCATCACAGTTTGGAGGGGTTTGTAACGTTTGCTTACCATGGACAACTGAAGGAGAATCTATGGAGTAGACAATAAATTAAGTGATGCAAACTCTTCTTTCTCTTTATATTTGAAGCAACGAGACAACATAAGCACTCATATTTCATACAACAGAGAGAGACGACGACAACAACAACAACAACAAAGCCTTTATCCCAATTGTCTGGTGTCAGCTACTTCACATTATGTGGATCCGATTATGTTTTACGCTAGTTGTCAACTACCTAATGCAACCCTCCTTTATCCTGGCTTGGGACAAGCAGTACTGGCAATAAAATAAAGCAAAACACTGGCGAAGTTTCATCCAAGAGGGGGAGAAGAGGGGGGATGTCGTCTGAGAAATATCCAAGTTTAGACTTCAAAATTATTCACGACCAATTTCAACTATCTAGGAATTAAATTTGTTAAGCTCTTAAAAGATACTTACGATGCTTGTAATGCCCTAGGCATTGAGAAAAAGAAGTCTTTATGGACATTTTAACTTATTTGCTAGATTACTTGGGTGTTTAACTTGAAGCAGTGAAACTATTGCAATTCCAGTTCTCAATTTTCATTTTTATGTAACAGAAGAATTCAGAAGAAACAATACAAGGAATCAGAATAATCAAACAAGAAAAAAATTGAATCTTGAATCTCAATATACCATATGTGTATGCAAAACTGCCACAACCTTTATCTTAAATAAAAACTTAAAAAGATAGAAAAACGTACCTCACTCCTCCTTTGCACTTTAGCTTCTCCCTCTGCCTCAATCCCATCCAATTTCAGCAACTGCACCATAAGCAATTCGGTCAACATGAGAAACTCTTTCTCTGCAACCTTTACACCCCCATTCACCGCTAACTCCAAATCAGTAACCTGCACATCAGACAAATACAAAATCCAAATATTTATCTTCTTCCTCTCTTCAAAGAGTTTCTATTCAGTGAAACACCAACCTTTTCAGCGAGCTTATCAACCTCGGATCTTACAATGACAACTGCTTCACAGGCCTTAGACATTCCCCTATCCCTTTTCATCTCTTCAAGCTTCCTTTTCATTTCTTCAGCCTTTCTCTCTTTGCTAGCTGGGTCCTCCAAAAGCACTAGCTTCGACTTGTCTTTAACTCCCACCATGTGCAGAAATTCCCCGTTGTCCTTCTCTTTTCCTCTGAATAGCAACCTTTGTTCCTGAGGCTCCAAGTTAGTCTTTTGTGCAAGAGCCCTTTTCAATTCCCCTAAACACAGCACAATATTAAGGGAAAATATTGAGGAAAATTATATAATATAAATCATGAGAATCAGGTGCTAAAGGACAAGAATGGACGAAAAATAGAGAATCTACTAGTCAGAGTAAATGAGCTGTGCTGTAATATGAAGAGTAGAAGAAGCCAACTAGAAATTAGATATTATTTCCAGTTTTATATATAAGGCAAAGAAGAACTAGACAGCAAATCACATTAAAGATAATTTACCAATACACCGTGCAACATTAAATTCAAAATTTAAGTTTTGTGACTAAGGATATTTATTATTGTCAAACACATTTAGTATTAGCAATAGATTCACCAATCACATAGAGGCGAGAAAATGATTACATATATTTGTATTTTTTTCCCCTGAAGAGACATATAATTAACATGTATATATCTGAAGATATGGAAGTTAACAGGTATAGATCTATATGATTCAGTTTGTGCTTCTGTAAGGAAGAAACTTCATTTGTGGCTGATGGTGATAACCATGCCTGTATATAGTAGTTGGATATGCCATGCAACATATGGTTGCCCAAAATACATAGATAGGAATAAATAAAGATTAAGATGCAAATATATAAAATAGAGCATCTAATCAGGTACATATAATCCCATCTCAGTATGATACAAACATATGAAATTAGAAAAGTGCTTGTATTGTATTATATGAAGAATGTCCTGGCATTGAAGGGTAAGTTTTACAAGACGACTAGCAGATATTTATTTTTCACAGAACAGTATAGGTAGATTTTTTTTTTTTTTTTTTTTGAAATGAGTTATAACCGATATGAGAAATACTGAGAATCTCGAGATGTGTGAGGAGCAACATGAGCTATAACAGGTTTTTAAAATGAGTTATAACCAATATAAGAATGTATATTAGATACAGAATAAGATAGCAGTGCATCCGTAAGAAATAATGGTATCCCCCAAAATTATAACAGCAAATCTATAGAAATTGTTTGCTCATGAGCAATGATTGTGAAGAAGCCACATCTACGGAAAGTGATAGGATCATAGTTGAAGCAAATAGGATGAGAAACATGCACAAACAAAAGAAGGGACATGAGCAACTAGAAACGACATGGTAGAACCATAGAAATGAGCCATGTAGATCTGGGTATAAACAAAAGGAATAAAGACTATACACTCTACCAAAATACTTAAATACTATTTGCTATCCGAATAATGATAACATCAATATCACATGATATCCAAATAATAATAAAAGAAGTTTGAATATTAACAAGAATTTCACAATATAAACTCATCAAAATAGATACTCACCACGCCAAATTCTACAAATAAACAGCAATAATATGTTACTTAATATTATACCATACATATGAATAGTAGCACATATAAATAGCATATACTGACAGTCCAATTGTCTGTGAAGCGGACATCAAATGGAACAGATACCAACATATTCATATCTGATCAATTTATAAAAGAAGAAGATACAAATGTATCTGAATTATGGATGTTTAATACTACTATCCATATATTTTGCATGTTCATTTTAGACAGTCCTTATTTTGCTCAGAGTTGGGGATGGTGGCTGTATATTGAATAACCAATCTTTAATTTTATGCAATATTGCCGGGTTTCTCGTACTAGAGACTCCATCCTTTACTCCTAAAAACAAACAAACAAACAACCATCACACATTACAAAAGCATCAAATTAGAAGAAATCAACCAAATCCATACTCACTACCAATTGTCATTGACAAGATAGGAACTAGAAAATGACAAATTATGCGTAATCATCCAAAAATAGACGAACATCATAGATGGTTATAATCCAATAGCCAGACGTATAAAATTACTGATACCCAGAAGGCGGAGACAAAAATAAAGATAATTGAACATCAAACAACATTAAACACCAATACCCATTAAAAATTAGAGGAACCCAAACAGAAATTACCAACAAAAACAAAGAAAAAATTACCAAAGGTGGATTGAGCAGGCACAGAGACCTCATGATGAGAATTTCCATGGGCAACCTTGATCTTGATCAAGGGTCCAAAACCCTCACCCCCATCTTCTCTCTTTTGAACCAGCATCCCTCCAGGCCTCAGCTCCCAATCTATTTCACCCTCATCACTCTCTGAGACCCCAGTCTTATTAGGGCTTGATCCTCTCATCTTCACTCACCGAACCCGGGAAAGAGAAAGGGTAAAGAGATTGATTGAGAGCAAAGAAATGTTCTTTTCTCTCCCCTCTAACAAAGCAAAGAGTTGCAAAATAGAGAATTTTGGATAATGGGTTATTGAGAAAAAGTACCCTTTCTCTTTTGACAGCACTAGAGATTGGTTCCTGGGTATCAAAGATATTTGGATTGGGGACCAAGAACAAGAACGACCCAATCTATAGAATACAGAGTCAAAGAAAAGAACCGAGTAACCGACCAATAGTTTGCAAAAATAAATTATCTTTCCACTGTTTTTGCACTTAATTATCTTTCTTTTTTTGCTAATATTTTATTAGAAATTTTATTAGAAATGTTAAAGTAGAAATAATTCAAGTTTGGGAAAAAAAATTAGTTAATTTAATACCAGATTTAACAGATATTATAAGTTAAAAGCTCTAAATTAGCATTTACAATTATAGAGAAAGATTCATGTAAAAATTTTCATTTTTGCATGATCGATGACAGTAATTTATCAAAAAAATTATTGTAGCAAAATGCAACTCATTATATTTAATTGTCTAAAACAATAAATTTTATGACTTTTTTGTGCAATTTAACCAATAATCTTTTCAAGTAGTTACATCTAAATTCGGATGCAAGAACGGTGAAAGTTTCCATCAATTTATTTTAGTAAATGAGCAATTTCTCATTAGTATATAATAATATTATATGATACATTTCATTTTGTTCCCTTTTTCCCTCGAGTGATATAATTGTTTATCTGATTTAGGAATTAATATTTAGATTTAGAACATACTTGTTTTATTTCCTTGAACAATTAAAATCTTATAACCTAAATTATTTAATAATGTAATAGTATATAATTTAATAGTATATAAATTTAAGAACATACTTGTTTTATTTACTTGAACAATTAAAATCTTATAACCTAAATTATTTAATAATGTAATAGTAAATAATTTAATAAATTTTGCATAATTATTTTATAATATATTTTATTATAATATGATAAAACAATTAATATTATTATAAATAATTATAACTATATGAAATAGTTCACTAAATAACAATTTTATAATGTTTTATGATAATTAATAATGATGTAATCTACACTGCATATAAAAGAGGATGGCATTGTTAAAACTTTTGATTTCCATTTTTGCCCTTTTAAGTTTGAACTCTCAAATATATCATTAGTTATAATTAATCATTCACTTACCTCTTATTAACTATGCATTTCCTCACTTTTTCAAAATCTTTGGTCACACTACTAATTTATTATTTAATTATGTTATTTAATAGAAAAGTTGATATTTATCCCTAATTTATTTTCACATAATATTTAAAATCCTAGAAAATTTAAAAATCATAAAAATTCATTAGGCTTATACCTTATGCCTTTGAGTTTCGTCTCTTATGGACGACTACTTGTTACCTTTCAACTTATTAGCCTTTTAAAAAATAAGACAATAGTATGAAAAACAATTTGTATTTACTATAATTATAATAATACTAATAGTATAATAATTTTAATAGTAAATTACACTATAATTTAGTATACCTGATTCCCATAAATTATTTACTAATACTGTAACAAGCTAATTCTGAAATTCAAATGTAGTTACTAATAGTATTATAATTATGCTATGTATAATTTTATTATATTTAAAAGAGAAGAAAGTATTTAATATATTATAATTATTTTAATAAATTATGAATAAATTATAATAATTATCCAAATTATAATAATTAATCATACAACTCTTTACACAGTTTTATCATATAATTTTTTCATTTAAACAAAGTTATAGCTGTTTAGAATTTATAATGCTATACAAGTCATTTCATTATTTTACAGCCAATAAAAAATTTGAAAATCATAAAACAAAAAAGATATGATTTCATACAAAGCATGTGCATTATATTAGTATAAATTAAAACATATTTTATTTTATTAAAATAAATTACTAGTATTTTTTAGAAGGTGAGAAGACGCATAATCAAGAAGGGGTTATGGATATTTAGGGGCTATTTGGTTTGTTGCAAAAACAGACAATAGCAAATGTTACATGCAAGAATTGTTGTAATAAATCTAATTAAAATACATTGTTTGGATATCTGCAATTTTATTGTGGCACATGTATTTCAAAAAGTTACCAGTGCAAAAGCTAATTATACGGAAACTTGATTGTGGATGATTTTCTGTTTGGATTTAAAAAGATTTACTTTGATGAGGTGAAATTTTTTTTTTAATATAGCAGCTTTTTCCTCTCACCAAATTGGTCTTTTTTTTGCAAGTTTTTTCTACAAATGCAAGCCCATTTACCTTCCACTTGCAAAGTTGCAAAAGAAATAATATAAATATAACTCATGTTTGCTCTCTTTACTTTCGCAACTCTAATTCTATCCAACCGAATAGCCCTAGTGAAAGATTAATTAAAATTAATCACATTATTAGAAATTTATCAAAATTTGAAAGCGCAAAAGAGACAGTCAAAAGTTTCAGATCATCTTTTCTAAATAGTATATAATATAATAATACATAGGCTAAATTGCAAAAGATATCATACAATTCATGTTTTGACAAATAAATACCATTAGTTGCATTATGGTACAATAAATACCATAAAGTTTCTAAAATTTGCATGTTATTACCATCAATCATGCAAACCTTAAAAATTTCACTTGAATGTTTCTCTCTGATTTTTACATGCTAATTTTAGATCTTTTTAGTAATAATATTTGTTAAGTTTGCTATTAAATCCAACTAAATTACTTTTTTAAACATGTCTTAATTCTATTTTAAAATAGAGTTAGGATATTTCTAATAAAAATTATAACAGATAGTAATGGTTAGAAAACTCTAAAATTAGCATGTAAATATTACACAAAAGCATTTTGTTGAAAATTTTTATGTTTGCATAATTGATAGTGGTAACATGCAAATTTTGGAAACTTGATGGCTTTTTTTAACCAAAATGCAAAGGCGTGGCATTTAATTATAAAAATAGGAAACAATATTGTATCTTTTTTGTGCAATTTAGTCTAATATGAATGTGGGTATAAAAAAAAAGATTTATGGATCGCCTCCTAATATCTATGTTTAATTTAATAGGTGAAAGTTAAAAGAAGAAAACTCACACCGACAAAACAATGCAAAATAAGAAGTTTGGTCTTCCGTTGTCGTCGTCTCCTTCTTCGTTTCTTAAATTTTAATTAATAGCATTGATATTGCTATCACATATTGGGAGGATGGAGCTCTCAATTGGAGGTTGACAACAAATATGGGCCAAGCTTAAGGGGCATAAATCGTGGAATTAATAGATCTATAATTAATTTTAGGATTAATTGTAAATAGTCCCCTATAATATCACCCATTTACCAAGAGACCACTTAATGCCATTTGTGCAAATGTTGAGTGAGTTTTTCTAACTCTTAAAATCAATAAAAAGATTTTGACTTTTGAGGAGGCGGATAGACCCTTTTAGTTCTTTAGCCAATGATAGACCCCAATTGCTTTTTTATCATTACTTTTAAGACAATGGAAAAAAAGTTCACTAAATGGATTTATCCACACTTGGGCAATGCTAAGGGGTCTCTCACACGAATAGAACTGGAGGGGGTTTATTTCACAGTTGGGTGATAGCACAAGGGGATATATTCACAATTAACCCTTAAATTTAAGGTTTCTAAATATTAATCCCTCAAATCTTTGAAGTTGTTCATACGTCACTTAATGACGAAAATGTCTCTCAACATGCGATGAGATGAGAGCACTTTGGTAATTTAGGGACCAATTTGCAAGACCCTCTAGAATTTGAGGGATGTTATGACTAAAATATTTTAAAATATATGTACTTGATGCACGGAATGAATTAGATAAAAGACTTGAGTTATTTCCTAGTGCCTCCTATTTCGAGTGTGTTTTGAGAAATTGCTTTTCAACACAGATAAATGAAAAGAACCATATGGTCTTTTACAATATTAAAAGTCACATGACAAAGCCATGTCGCTCCCTCACAGGGGGGGTCTGGATTCGATTATTGTGTGCACCAAAAACGCAGTTTAAGAAAAAAAAATCATCAGTAGCCTTCTTTCTCACTAGAATGACATAATCTTTCCTAAGTTTAAGAACCACGAGTAAAAAGTTCAGGGAGGTTACATGATTTGTTTAATATCATTCACTGAATTTGGAAGGGGTTATATAATTCTAGTAAAACACTGAGGAACTATTTATGACAATGATTGATCGACAAAGTAGATAACAAACCATAGTAACAAAATAATCTATCTTTCCACAAATCACAGGCTTCTTGTTAATTACAATATGTTAATATCTAAGGAATAACTATTCACAAGTAGATTTCAATTCATTTTTGCTGATGGTGTCTGAAATTGAACTTTTCTACTTGCTATACCTTAAACATCAGCATGCTCATTGAATTATGTGAATTATACTGCGAACAATTATGAGAAATAATTAATTTCATTATAACCCATATTAAAGTATATTTATACTATTTCTGAAAAAACATGAAGGAGCTGGAATGCCTGGAAATTCTGTTGTTGTTCACGCACTGAAGATACAGCAAGCTTAGAACATGATATGCAGAATTATTTTAAAGCAAAAGAGTCAAATATTTATAAAGACTTTATTTAACAACTCCATTTTCAACAGTAAAATACCCAATGCAACACAAATCATTAATTAGTATAGAAAAGATCCAAGCTTATATTAATTCTTGATGGTAACTCCAAGCGCAAGGGGTGGCCCTGTGCTAGAAAAATCAACATGAATCACAACTCTTACTTGCACCACCCATATCTTTAAAAAAAAAAATGACAGTACCTTTCAAACCTCTGCATGAATGATAAAATCCTTTATACCGTAATGAGTCAAGACAAATGTTTTTAAGGAAAAAAAATAGTATATTTCTTTAGCTATAAGAAAATATGAAGTATCTTTCTATATATCCTCTCTTTAGCAATGCAGTTAAATATTGTCGTGTTATAAACACAATTTTCCAGAAGCCTCCCATATTTTCAAAACTTGTAAAGTAGAGACGGAGACAATTCAACTTCCATGAGTTAAACTTGCCATCTACCACAAGATTTATAAAGGATAGGAGAGAAATGAATGGTCTTTTTTTTTTGAATAATAGACTGGTTGTTGATATTGCATTAATCACTATTATATCTTTGAAAAATAATGATATTACTTTTGCTTTGCAGGCTATCCACGTCTCCGCATTGCTTCCTCTGAGGCGTACAAAATATTGCACGGGCTCATTGCCTTTGTCCAGACTCGGAGAATCAGGCCCCTGTAGTTTTGTGGCCCATCTTCATCTTGCCCAATTCCGACCCATTTATACTTAGAGGTTCAATAGATTTCTTTCCCCTTTTTTTTTTTTAATGAAAGGTTCCATAAATTTCTAGTCCTCAGGAAACTACACGAGGCGTAAACTTTCCTTTACGGTGATTTCTTTCAAAACAGGTTATTCTACAGTAATTACTTTTTATTTTTAATTTATATATAAATCATCTTTAAATAGTTTATCATTGCAATTAACCACCTGGACTCACTTTTTGGTCATGTTTTTTTTCCCGGTTTTGTTGTGATAATTAGCTGTCAGATAAAATTATATTAGAGAGGTGATTCTTAATGGAGATTAGGTGAGATCATTTATAGAAAAAATAACTAAAAAATGGACCCAAGTAATTGACTGCAAGAAAAAAAGCTTTAAAAAGTGATTTAAGTATAAATTGGAATCAAATGTGATTTCTAACCCGATTCTAAAGTTGGTTTCCAAGGGGGGAAAAACCGTTAAAAAAAGAGTAGCAGTAAGATGAGATATGGGCATCCTGCAACTTATTCACCACTGTACATATTCTCGGGAATATTTCTTGCTTTGTCACTCTTATTTTAATTGATCTTTTTAAACTAACTAGTTTTGATACACGTGCAAGGCACGTGGTAATTTTTTTATTTATTATAACATGGTTATAAAAATTTGCCATGAGGAAACGGTAAATGTTCATGTGGTTGATCATTGCACAGAGCTGAAGATGTGCAGTGTTTTTTCTCCTGATTTGGCCCACATTGCATCACATGGGAATGGAAAGCAAACTCTTAACATTCAGATTTGTTCAAGGAGTAGACTGAAAGTTGCAGTATATAACACATGCTTCTAAGAGTTTCATATATCAAAATGAATGCAACCTCTGATATAATACTTCTCTCCTGAATCAAAAAAGACTTTAATTTGTCTGCATGAACCAATCAGATATCCTGAAGGAAAACCTAGAGGTAGAATTATTTTGACAATATGATTTCAATAGCATAACAAAAAGCAAGAAATATGATTTGGCTTCTCAGGTTTCTTACATTGTTTTAGTCTATTTACAAGGCAATGTAATCTGACTGCACCGAGAAGTTGCATACAAATATTTACACCATAATCATAGAGAAGATGCATACAAATATTTACACCATAATCATACTTAAATATTCTTTACAAAGGAATTGAGGTCTCATCAGCTAGGGTAGTCTAGATGATAAAGATCTCGCAATACATGACGTTGATCCCCTTTGTCAGTGTCTCTTCTGATCAAAGAATTTGCACCATGTCATGAGAAATTATAAATGCCAAGAGATATTATAAATAACAAACAGAAACTCGAGGAAGAGCGCAAAGCATCAGGGAAGTGTCCTTTGCTCAGGCTGTTGCCTTCGATGGCGTTTATTGTCAATAACGGAAGGAATTGCATCAGAACCCTAGAATTGCCATCTAGCAATTTGACAATCCCAAGAATAGCTCACAAGCATATGGTAGTATGGATGCCAGCTACAGACTCTAATCACAGCGTTATGAAAGGTGATTTTTGCAACTTGGTTTCCAGTCACCTGAAATAGTGTCAAGATAAACAAATACCAAACATCATCTCATAACATTCTCATATATCATCACGTTGATATTCTATGAAGCTTAACAACTGAGTAATGTTTCCTTACCCACAATTTGAACTGGCTAACTTCTTAAACCCACATCAGTTCTTAATTGCAGATTGGCCTCCAGTGTCATCACCCAATTGCACACAGACCCCATTGTAGTTGTATGGTTAAGAATAGACCCCCTTGTACTATCACTGAACTGTGATTAGACCCCTGAGTGAATTCGTTTTTACCCTCAGGAGGCATAATTGTCCAAAAATTCCTCCTTTTTTGGTGGTAAAAGAGTAAGAAAGTCACTCTGAGGGCCTATCTCCAATAATAGAACTACAGGGGATCTATGCGCAATTGGGCAATGGTACATGGTGTCTATCCACAATTAACCCAAAAGAAAACCAAAACATATTGTCTCAATATTAGTTTTTAGTATTAAAAATTTATAATAAAAGATACTAACTACGTTTAGTGAATCATAATGTGAATTTTTGGTAGTCCAACGAAATTTACAACATTTCAATACCTGGGAAAAGATTATCAACAGAATTATATGTGGAAGCTCAATCTCAATACACTTGGCAACCTGGGCAAACAAAAGTATCAGCCAACTGTAACAGATCTTCTACCACATCTTATGTAAATTATACAATAAACAATCTCAAAAGGTTCACAGCACAAACTTGTGAACAACAATGACAAGTCTGCAAATAGGAAAAAAAAAGTTTCGAAAAACAAAATGATGCTTACACTGAGAAAGCCTAACTCATAGAGGCCAAATCCGGATAAGGCAACTAAAGGAACTGCTGATAGTTGACTCACAAATCTGAATTGTAGAAAAATAAACAAATAAATAAATGTCTATAAACACCACACCAACTGGCATTACATATATTTAAAGTGCTTGAGGAAGCTGGCATTACATATATTTAAAGTATCATTTTACAACTATTTTTTTTACAACCACACCAACTGTCAATACTTGTACAGTGCTTCAAATTTTGTTGCTGCTGATTCGGTTGTGTGTACTACTTCATGTAATGGAACGTCATCACAGGCTTACATCACAAAGAGAGACATGTGGGCTGAAGAAGAAGCAAAGTTCTTGTGAGTTGGAGAGGTATTGCATCCAGATGATGGGTATTTGAGTAGTCAAGAAAGATGGAAGGTCTTTTTAATGTTGTGTGAAATGCTAGAGTATGGAACACATTTAGTTGAAGATGCTTTAAACTTCATATTCAAGCATTTGTTTGTTAGATTGGCAGGAAAATACTGTATTTATGAGTTCCGCCATCAGTTCAATTTCCAATTTTTCAGGCATGATGATTTTATGTTTCCTACAGTACGACGGGTAATAGTTATAGTTATTTATGCTAAGACTTCCCTTGTTGCTCTCCAATTTCTTTGAAGGAAAATATGAAATCACTCTATATTATGGCTAGTTAAATGCAACCCCCTTATCTAAGCTTATAACTTTGTCTTTTTCCTATTTATATGTCTTCTTTTTTGAAAGGAAAATTTGAATAAATATTGTCATTTATGTAAGAATAACCTTTTGTGTAGCACACATTAGAATGTCCTAAAAAAATAATTCAGCATATATTTCGACACAAGTGTTTGAATAAGCAAGAAGTTAATGAAACCACCTTAAATAATGATATTAAAAATTCTTTTTTTGTGAAGTTACAAATTATAACCTACGGTTTCTCAACATTAATCCTAATAGCATAGCAAGTGTTTGAACAATCTAAGAATTTCCAAAATAAAAATCTAAATCAAAATTTAAAAATTAATCATGACATACCATAAATTATTCTCTAAAAACCTTGCTCAATTTCTTTGATCCCATGTACTTTATTATTAATGCTTAAGATACCATGCTGAGATGTGGTTACTTGATTTGATGTTAGTTTGTTTGTAAATCATATTAGGCATCTTATGTAAATATTTCCTGCTTGACTTGGCTATATTTGCAGTTTTGAGCGCATAATTGCATGCAGTGAATTATAGAGGGTAGCCCTCGAGCTGTGCAAATAGCACATGGAGACTTTCTATAAAAAGTTTGGTGTGATTTGATTTATTTTAGTTACTTTCTCGCACTAAAAGATGTATCATTATGTGTTACGCAAAAATAATGCAATGATCTTGTTTTCCAAGATCAATGGAAAGTCCACAGACTATAGAAACCAAAATTATGTTGGTCAGGTTTGGTTACTGTACAACATAGTTTGTGCATAAATATTTGGGATATATTATGGTTTTGTTTGCTCAGGCATTAATCAAATGTTTACTCTTGTAATTATATATATTATTATTTCTCAATAAGATGTATATATATTGCAGGCTATTGCAAGAAATCTCCCTTCATCAGATATCATTGAGTCTACATTTGTTGCAGGACCAGGTTTTGTGAATGTAGTTCTGTCAAGCACATGGGTGGCTCAGGTTGTGTTTTACGAGGATTACAAGCACTTTATTTTTTATTATATATAAACTGGAACGCGCACATTCTTTTTCTAATTCTACTCTAATTTCATTATGGTTTATTGTGTAGTATATTCAAAATATGCTATTGAATGGTATCTAGACAAGGGCACCACTTTTATCAGTTAAAAGGGCGGTGGTTGACTTTTCTTCACCTATTATTGCAAAAGAAATGCATGTTGGTCATTTAAGGTCAACTATAATTGGAGACACTTTAGCTCGAATGCTGAAATTCTATAAACTTGATGTTCTACGACGGAACCATGTTGGTGACTGGGGTACACATGTGCATATACTCTTTGGTGACTGTTTCTTACTCTTAAAATTATTGATAAGTCTCATAATATGCTTGGTATAACAAAGGGCAAGGTTGGGTTATGAACATGAGCTTGCAGGCAAGGATCAGATTAGCAAATTAGTCTCATAATATGCAATTCTTCGTGAGCGTCAGCAACACTTTCATATAGTTCATTTTAAATTTAACTAATACTATCATCTTCCGTGAATCACTGTAGTTTTTTATTTATCACTTAGTAAATAACACAGTTGTTTTAAGTAAATACAAATATTATAATTGAAGTGTCTAATGGAGTGAAGAGAACCAAATTCTGATACAGATGTGAAACAAATTGTTGCCGAGCCACCTTGGGGTGGCTCGGCCATGAGCCGAGCCACCCCAAGGTGGCTAGGCACAGTGTCGGCCACCCCGAGGTGGCCGGCAGTGGCCCGAGGTGGCCGACAGTGGCCAGAGGTGGCCGACAATTCCCTTTTTGCAGCCACTGTCCTGAGAGCCTATAAATAGGCCTAGAGATGTTCATTTTCGGAGGTCGAACTTTCAAGAGCCGAAACTCTGCCGGATTGAAGAGCAAACTCAGAGTTTTGAAGACTTGAAGACTTGGACGTACAGATCTGATCCTCGGCGACCATCCACGTCAGAAATGGCAGGATCTCGAGAGGAAGAAAGAACAGATCTGAGATCTACACGAGGTCATACTCCAGATCTAAGCTTGGTCTTAGATCTCGAGATCCGAGCGATTATTCCCTTGGTGGATTAATCCCTCCCGGCTATTATTCCCTTCGTGGAATAATACCCGCATAATCGTGTAGATCCGACCGGATCTAGATCGCGCGGTGGTCCACGGCAAACAACCCCGGCGCAGGCAAAGAACCCACACAAGCGAGCGGCCGCAAAACAGGAGCTCGCGATTTGTTCACAAGAGGAAAGTTGTAATTTTTACTTTTTTTCTTCTTTCTTTGATTTAGTTGTAACCGGATCTATAAAAGACCGGATCTTTGTAATCCAAGATGACAATTATCTCATTAATGAAGAAAGCAATAGTTTTCCACGCGAACAGCTGGCTTTGTCTTTAGCACACATACCTGCTTGAGCTTTGACGGGTTCTTAACCGTCTCTTCTTTCTGCATCTCCTCTGCTTTCTGTAGGAGAGCTCGGGCATGCGCAAGCAGTGCGCGGCGCTTCTTGATTCGCTCTTCGAGGGTTGAGCGAGTCCTCGTGACACGAACCCATTCGCTCGTTTCTGCCTTGGAGGAGGAGTTGGTTACGTACCGTTGTTGCTCTTGGCGCTGTCTGGATTTGAGATCTTCATTGTAGCGGATCCCGTCCATCGGCTCCAAAGCCTTGGCCAGCTGACGAGCAAGGCGTTGACGCCGTCTTTGGCGCGTCCTCTTTGATACAGCTGGAGCACCTTCAGTAGCCATCTTCTTGGCGGAGGAGAAGCCTAGATCTGCGATCTCGACCACGTTGGACGGCGCGGGGACGCCACGTGGTGCGAGTGCATCGACGGCAAGGGGATCTTGGGTCTTTGAGCCGAGAGTCCCGCGAACGTTTCTGGAAGAGGATGCCTTCCTGCGCCTGTTCGGAGAGGCGGATCTGGAGGAGGAGGAAGAGAGGTACTCTTTGAACTTTTGCTGATCGAACTCGTATTCGATCTCTTCATTCACCCGGATCTTGAATGCCGGTTGCGTCACGACGGCCTCGGCAGCGAGGCCGTTGGCTCCCACTGTGGTCGCCAGCTTGTTTGCGGAGAAAGTTGTTGTATTCACTGCTGTATTCATTACAACTTCAGTCGTTACAATGAAACAAAAAAGGATTGTCTTTTTATAAGACTCTTACACAATGAAAACAAAAATTACAACTCTCTTCAAAACAAACGCAAGATCCGTTTATCGTCTCTTGCTTGCGTGGGACTTTGGCCTGTGACGGGGACGTCAATATCCGTGGACTACCTGGCACTCAGATCTGTTCCGAAACATTGCATGACCGCCCATACAAGAAACAATTCAACCCCTTTCTGCGCAAAATTCGTGTTAGATTGGATATAATAATTATCAAATTAATATATAAATAAGAAATTAACTACATGCTTGTTGGCACAATCAGGTTGCCCTTTTATCTCCCATGTGAGATTCACAAGAGCCATCAACATAGCACAATAATGACGGAATATCCACCTGCAAGAGCACAAGTAAAAATTGTTTTATGAAAAGCAATGTTGTCCTAGATAATAAACAATTATCAAGCCCTATTTAAATAGTAATTTGTTCTATCTAAATGTTGAAATGAGATTCTCGTATTCATAATTAAGGCGTCATTGTAACTCACCAATAAAAGTTAAAGCATTATAATAGTTGAGCTTGGTAGCACAAAATCTGAACTCAGCTGACAAGCTAGTTTACATGGATAGGGTTTGAAGATCATAATTATATCAGATCATGTAGATAGGGTTTGAAGATCTTACTTATATCAAATCATGTGGATGCCCCCTCATTGCCACTCCAGGTTTCACGCTGCGCTAAGTGAACTGAACCCACTAAAATCCTAAACCAGATGTACCAATTCAATATACCCTTGAACAGATGCATTTTAATATCAAGTTAACCATATTGTTAACTTGAATTCTGCATCAATATAATAAGCAAAATTAAATCACTATGAACACAATAAAGGTGGTAGTTGTATTGCTTGTAGGTACTGATAGAGAAACAATCTTCCCTACAAAAAGCACTAAATAGGTACATTAAGTTTACCTCAATCAGAGATAGCAAATATTATCCTGAGTAACATTTGGTGACAGATTTTATATCTATTTAGCCTAAACTAAAATCAGCAATGACCCTGACATGCTCCCTTGACTGTAAGTTTAACCAATGTCAAAAAGATGGAAGGATGATTACTAACAAGGGCGAATATAACTTCCATTTACTCTGAGTATGTTCTCTCGCAAAGCTAAACTTGTATAGAGAAATAATAGCCATGCCTGGGAAGAAAACAACAATTGTTTAAAATAAAACAACATCTTCAACCACAAATTCCAAACAAAAACATATGATGATGATATGCAATTGAAAGGTACTATCTACCTGGTAGAGCTGAACTACCAATGCTGGGAAGCATCCATTCCAAATCCAATACCTTAATAGTAGCATAGTGGAGGGAAAGAAAAGAAACAGAAAGGTCGTTCGATCCTGCAAAAAGAAAGTTACACTATTGTCAAATGTGATTTTGACCTACCAAGAGATAATGACAGCATATTATTGCATGGCTTTGATGGAAAGTTTTCTTTTGTTTCATATGCATCTAAAATCACAATGCACTACGTTGCAAAGTACATCATCTTCATCACATTTACTCACAAAATTATGTCAACCTCTAAGCAAGAAGATGGTTGCTTTCCAGTTACATCTAGATTGTTTATAGATAGTCATGAAATTCATATATCAGCATGCTTGTCTGACGGCACTGTCAGGTTACAAGGCGGAATTTCTAAACTTAAATCTACCTTTCATATGTAAATGTAATATATTTAACTTAATAGGAACAGATTATGAGAATTTCCACCAACGCAAGCCACGTGGCCTAACTAACTCTCGGCTCCATGTTTTCTTTTTGTGTGTGTTTTGTGTCCGTAGAAGAGATTGCAAACATTTTGGATCACTGTTTTAACGTCAAGACGTCCAAAGTCTTTCTCTGCGCTCCTTGGCTTCTATACAGGATGTAAAAAAAATACAGTTTACATGAAGAGAACGTATAGATGAAATATCTAGAAAGATTGTGAGTATCATATTATGATTAGTATTACTACCCTCCATCTTCATATGTAGAAGCCTTTTGGTAAGGGATCCAAATCAAATCCTTTCGGAGCGGAAGGAATCCCAAAGTCACCACACTTCAGACGTGATCGAGTGGAAGATTGCAGAGTCATAGGCGGGTATGGTTCCAGATTCTTTTCTGACTAAGAAAGCTTTGGAAGCGTGGAAAGAAGCTGAACGATTTCGTCCAGATATCCATATGTACACCCAGAAAGTAATAGTCCATGAACTGATTCTTTATTTGATGACAAGGTCAAGATATCCATACGTACACTCAGAAAGTAATAGTCCATGAACTGATAGCCACCTAATATATCTTTATGTGATTAATAAAATCCACAATAAGTGCTAATGAATTGATAGCCACCTGAGAGGCAAAGTTTTCTCCGTGTCCTCTATTATTCCTTTTTTCATTGATATGAAGACACAATCAAGCTTATTTTTAGAAACTTCAAATAGCTTTTCAACTATACCACTGAAAAATCAAATCTCAAATACTCAAATAGACCAAAATGAATTCCTAAATGATCCGTATCACAAAAAAATTTCTTTCAATCTCTCATTCTAGTTTTTGTTCATAATATTCTCTCCATAAAAGACCACATCTTTATAAAACATTGTTGCTATAAATAATAAAAAAACAAGGACATGAACTCTTCATCTATGCCTGAAGTGGAAAAAAATAAAGCTGAACCCCCTCCCTCCAACCCCCAACCCCCTAACTATCAAATTATTCAACTCAAAAAAAATGAAGTAAACCCAAACACAATAACAGTTTAATCATATTCAACAGATATCACTAAAAATACATTACAAAATGCTATAATTGTAAGAGGAAAATCATAAAGATAAAATAAAAACTAATTTACCTTGATAGCTTTCTACTCCTCCAATCAATATCGGACACCTAACAGCAATAATCAATAATCAATCAATACTAAAAATAAAGGTTATCCATCAAACAATCAAACTGAGAATATGAATAAGAAATTACAATAAAGTAATCTGGTAAGGACTTCTTTGTGAAGCATTAATCTAATCTGGTAGGTACAGTCTTCCTCACTGATGAAACAATAAAGTAAAAAGGATTATTAAACGTTTACGATCATGTTTACAGGGAACTATATCAATCTGTCAGAGTTGATGATTGCTTCTGGAACATAGGTTTGTGTACAAACTACTATGACTCTGTTGGATTTCCTGTGATGTTGCATTATTCTCACTGAAATGTTCTGAATATATTTAACTTTACACAGGATGGGAGGTCATTTCTATACTGTTGACCAAGCAAAATCAAATGGAGTGGTGGAAGTTTTTGGTGAAAGGTGAACCTGAAATTGATACTTAGAAAGTTGAACTCGAGTCTAGCAAATTGTCTGATTTGGATCCTGAGACTCGGCAAACCAGAGATGTCTTAACATGTCCTTGTTCCTAGATATGAAAGTTTTATTTGCCAAGTGTTTTTTTAAACTCTATAACCAACATAACAGCAGTAGATTCAATACATTTCTATAGATTGACAATGCATAATCATCTAGACACATGAAAATTCCTAAATTAGCAACCATTTGATTTAAAAAACAACGCAAATAAGCACATAAGTACAAAAAAAACAAAAATAACAATTAACAGAAAAAAGAAGAGTCTCCTGTTGAGCGCAGGAATAAAATGGGAAAGGAAAATGATGATGAAAGAATCAATAATCAATAAGATCAATAATCAATAATAAGAGTAGAAAAGTGCAGGATTAGTTTAAAAGAACTGGTCTAACTGAGAAATGGGAAGATCGAGATTCCACTTACTTTCTAATCTCGCTCCAGCTACCCTTCGATTATTGAAACCCTCGTGCAATGTATCATGAGCTCCAGCACCTCAGATCTGAGCCCTCATATACATCATATATAAAACATTATAGCAACAAGCAACCATGCAATAAAACTTAGCATCCACCTCCTCCACCCACGAACTAATGCAACAAAACTCCCATCATTGCACCATTTTTAACTCCAAAAACTTGATTAAATTCCCTATTCTAAACTAACATGACGACGAAGCAACCATGCAGTGGAGATAAGACTAAAGCTCAAGCTCTCACCAAGCAGAGCGCTGACAAGGCCGCCCGCGCTGATATCAAGCGACCAAGATTCCTCCCCCCTTCTGACCGCCGACACCGGCAACCTGTTCGCCACCACCAGCAGCCTCTGCTTCATCGGTCGCCTTCCTCCGCCTCCGCCGTGCCCTTCGCCAATCACCGCCGTGGCGGGGGCGGAGCCCACATCATCACCGGGTGGGTTGGCGGCGAAGATGACTGCATCGATCTGAGACGCGCTACACGATTCCAACCCTAGCCGGGCTTCGGAATCGAGGATCGCAAGGAATCGAAAGAGACCGGACTTGATCGGAGCGGAAGAGGTGAGGGAAATCGCGAGGGGGACTGCGATCCTTGAAGAGTTGAGGGGGGAGAAAAGGGGATGGCATTGGTTTGGGGGAAAATAAATGAGAAAAAAAACGGAAATTGAAAAAACACATCAGTATCCAAACACCCTTGGTAATTAAATTTGATGGAAGGCTATTTTGGGGAGGGTAAAGTTTTTTTGGAACTCCCTCTTTTAAAGGGTAGATAGATTAATACTTATTAACCTTATTTAATGATCAAATTGACCAACTTCCACATAGTTCATGTGTAAAAGGATTGCAACTGTAAGGAGATACGTCCTGCGACAAGAAAACGAGATAAGTTCACTTGACATGCATCTTTAAACAATAAGAGAGAGTGAGAAAACAAAGCATGTGTTACAAGAAAGCCAACCGTGATTGTCCAAACGAAGATTAAATTTCAACACGATGAAAACGGGCCTCATCGTGACACATTATAACAAATTATACGACTCAAAATTTTCGTCAGTCTCATTCACATATGAATTGCCATAACAAAATAATTGTGATACGTACATGATAACTAATTATCTCCCAAACAATAAGGACGACTTTAAATTTACAGCAACCGTATATAGAAGTGACGTACACGGCGAAGAACAATTCTGGAAACAAGCAGGAAACTGTCAAGCAGCTTGCCAGTCGACCGCGAGATCAGCTGCGGTCGACCGTGGACCCTGTAATCGATTTTCTCAGTTTCTGTCATTCTGTCCGGTCGACCGCGGAGTCAGGTGCGGTCGACCGTGACTCGGGTCTGAGCCTGAGCTTTGTTTTCTGACTCATTTCGTTTTGTGTTGATATATAACCCTAAACTTGATTAATTAGGGTTAAGTAAGGATGATTTGAACAAACTCTTGTGAGGGTATTGTGCATCCTTTTGTGGGAGAATTGTGAAAGATTTAGAGAGCTTTGTTTTAGAGTTTTGAGTGATTTTGTAACCCTATTTGTATTTCTCTTCATCTCTAATAGTAAGAACTCCCCCCTTCTTGCCCGTGGACGTAGACAACTTGTCGAACCACATAAATTCGTTGTCTTGTTGTGATTTGTGACTTGTGCTTATGTTTGGTTGTGATCTTTCTCATTGTCTTGTCGTGCACTATTTGGTTTTCGAGCTTCGCTGCGCACAACAAGTGGTATCAGAGTTTCGGGTTTGACTTGGGGCTTATTCGAAGAATTCGCTGAAGGATTCTTACTTGGAGAGTTAGATCTACAACATGAGAGAAGTAAGTACATCGGGGTCGTCCCTTACGAAGGTGATACAAAGTCTCAGCATCAATAAAACTAAGATTGATGTTCTGAAGTTCGATGGCAAAATCAATTTCAGTTTGTGGAGGTGCTAGGTGATGGATGCGTTGGATGCACAGAATTTAGAGGAGACTCTTGAGTTACAAAAGAAACCTGAAGACATAGAGGACAAGGTTTGGAAGAAGATGAATAGTAGGACTTGTAGAGTTATTCGGTCATACTTGACGCATGATCTTATTTATGATGTGATGAACGAGACGTCGGTGAAGAGATTGTGGGAAACGCTCAATGAGAAATATCTTACGAAGAGGATTGAGAATCGGCTTCAATTGAAGAAAATGTTTTACCAGTTCAAGATGAAGAGTGGAGTTTCCATTAGGGAGTATGTCAACAACTTTACAAAGTTACTTTCAGATATGACCAATGTGGACATCATGGTTGAGGATGAAGACAAGACGATATTACTTTTGTATTCATTGTCGGAGAATGATTATGGTACGTTTGGTCTCACTATGATCAATGGAAAAACTATTGTTAGATACAAGGAAGTGACCTTAGCGTTGGTGAATTATGAGTTAAGAAAGAAGATTGTTGATCAGATCGTTAGGATATCACAATGGGTGGAGAGTGATGCTACTCCACGTTGGGTGTAGATTACTCTACATACTCTAGATCATACTGCATCGTTTGGGATTCGAACTAAGGTGATACAGTTTGGGGATCATTTGGATTTGGATACAGATAATGAGTTGGTTTTAGATTCGAGTGCACTTGGTGGACATAGTTCACATTTGGTTATGACCGTTGGTTCACCTCAGGTGGAAGTATTTAGATTGTTTCACTTTGGGGCTATTTGGAGAGCTATCAGCCACAGATTTGTTAATGATGTTGGAGAAAGATTGCGAACTCTTCTATTTGATTGAGGGCCTTTGGAGGCTGTTGGGTGAACTTCGTGAAGGCTTGATTCCTTGGGCAAGAGAATACGTAGGCAGTCATTTATGATACAGTCGGTTTGGTGAGTTGATACCGATATTTGGAGTTTGTTAGCATTATCATTTGGGTTCTCGACTTGTTGTGGATTGAGTCTGTTGTCATGGTTTTGTTCCACTTCGTACTGGACGCAACAAGTGAGACGTTTGATTTGGTTGGTGTCGGCTCAGTTTTGGGAAAACTTTACCGAGGTGGAGAATTATAAAAACGACGAAGGAATTTGAAAAAAACGTAAAAAATAAGCAAGACAAACTCCACTATACCCTGGTGTGGTGTCTGCCACACCTAGGTGTGACAAAATCTATCATGTTTTCAGGGGTGTGGTGTCTGTCACCCCCAAGTGTGGCAGACTTGTTTTTTAGAATCTCAATCTGTTTGGGATTGTGTTTTGTTATAAATAAAGACACATTTTAGGGTTTCTTTGATTTTGATTGGGCTTTGATTAAGCATTGATTGGGGGATATTTTGAGCACATAAAAAGGTATTTTCTCAGCTATTAGTTAGGGTTTTATTTAGAGAGAATTAGAGATTTATTGGTAAGATTAGTTGGTTGTTTTGAGTAATTTGTAATCTCAGTTTGTGCTCTTCTTCTCTATTAGTGAAAACCTCATTCCCTTCGTGCCCCGTGGACGTAGGCAACTTGCTGAACCATATAAAAATTGGTTGTTTGTGCTTGTGTCGTTATCTTGTATTGTTTAGCCTTCTATCTGGACGTTTTGGTATGGTTCCTTGAAGCACAACAATTTGGTCGCCACGCACAATATTGCTTTTGTTCGTGCAGGAGAATTAATTACACTCGTATGTTGGCCTTCTTGTTTTGATGATGTTTAACAAACAATTTATTACTAATGTTATTTGTCTAGTGTTTGTGTTTTCGTATTTATTCTAGGCAAACAACGAGTTGGAGGATGGATGGAATAGAGCTTCAACGATGATATCTAAAGGAGGTTGGCGGAATGTCGGTGAAGCCTTGCAAATTCAAAGTTAAAGATCAAGTTCAAGCTTCATCCGCATGTGTACCAAGTTGAGCTTCAATGAAGATCAAGATCAAGCTTGGGTATATTTAGTATAGGTTTATATTATGTGTGTTATATACTCTAAGCTCAATATTATATTCACACACACATTTATTAGTTTCTTAGTATATATATATATAGTTATATACATATACATCTTGGTTTTTAGTTTTATCCACAAATAAAGTTTTTACAAATAAATTCCAAAAAATGTGTATACATGCTTGTTTTCTATGTGGATAATTTGTTTTGGTTTAATTTCATAGATATGAAACAAATATATTTTCATATACATACTCATACGTTTTACTTTCTATTGTATTTGTGAAAATATTGTTTTCTTGGTTTATAGACTTAACAATAATCATATACATCTTTTATTAAGTCTACAAAATCATTTTGTAATGTTTCAAAACATGGTTAAGCTAAAATGTCAAGATTCATATGTTTACATTTTCATGTTTTGGACTATTTTGTAAAATAATGGTGGACTTTTTTGTCTTTTGTTAGGGGTTTTGGCTGAGTTTTTGAGTGGGTATAAATACCCTATTGCTGTTTTCTTTCAAGCCATCTAAGAGAGTTTTAAAACAAGTTTAAGAAAGTTTTTAATCAAGGGTTTAAGTTTTGTTTAAAAGAGTTTAAGAGTTTGTTTGAGTTTAGTTTGTGAAGCAAATTTCACAAGAGCAAAGAGGAGATCATCCTTTGGTGTTTGGGCATTCAACTCATCTCTCTCTCACTCTTGATCTATAGAGAAGTTTTCCTTAAACTCAATTCTAGCTATTTATTGTTTTGATCTTAATTTCCATAAGCTAGATTTATATATTGAGTTTAATTGTTTTATTGATACTCTTTGTTCACACACAACCTTTTGAGCTTATTGTATTTACATTCATAGTATAATTTTGGGTTGTGAGATTAGTGACTTAGAGTTGTGCTTAATTGAGTTCTCACCTTGTTTAGAGAACAAATCATTTGATTTATATTGTGCTTATTGTGAGGATTCACTTGTAATACACTTGTACACCGAGAGAAGTGTGTGGTGAGAGACGGGGTCGAATCCAAGAGGAGTGGCGTCGGTTGACGTGCCTAGGGAGAGGTTATAACCGAGCACTTGAGGAGGAGGACACGGGCTAGGACCAACACTTAGTGTGTGAGGTGTGATTACATAGTGATTGTATTGTGAGGTGTAAACGTTGTTCGGGTGAACGTAGAAAACCCGGTTGTGATAGTGGAGATCTCCTCGAGGTGAGGAGCGGGGACGTAGGTCGTGGGGACCGAACCTCGTAAACATATCGTTTTGTTTGTGATTGCATTGGCGCTCTTATTCTTGTTTTCATATCTTATATTGCCTTTGTGTATTGCTCATCATATTACCCTATCACTTGTGTAGATTGTTTATTTTACCCTTGTGTTAGTTCATATATCCTTGCTCATATATTTGTAATATCTCATTGATAGGATATATTTATTTGTTCATATTGCTTATCCTAGCTTACGTATCTTGTTGTATTTTATACTTGCTAGGATAACTTATTAATTAGTTTTAATTGGCATTTAATCGGATTAGATTAGCATAAGACCCTAATCACCCCCCCTCTAGGGTCTAACATCGTATACTCTATAGTTTCCCTATTTTGCACTTATATACACTCACTTGTTTTTTACAGTAGTTGTGTAACATGAAGCTTTTAAATTCTGTGGTGAGATACCCTCAGGTATACAGACGTGAGAATTGTCCCCTATAAATTCTTATGCAACATTCACGTGCTAATTTTAGGACTTTCGTTTCCTTAAATTTTATCAAATTTATTATTAAAACTATTATAATTCTATTTTA